TTCAAATAATTCAAAATGTAAATTAAAATCTTGATTTAAATTTAAATTTTTAGGATTTGTAATTGTAACTAAATAACTTAATGCTAATACACAATGTTCAAATGTTTCTTCATCAAGTAATTTTTTACATTGTAATTTTGTAATAATTCTAGAAATGGAATTTTTAATTAAATTTAAATTAATATTTGAAAAATCACATTCAATTTTTAATAATTTTTCAATTGGTCCTTCTTCAAATTCCAAATCATCTTGATCATCTTTATACATTGTAGATGATAATAATTCAAATTGAATTGATGAATATGATCTCTTACTTGTTAAGGAAATTAATGAAATATGACTAATTAAAGTAATAATTTCAGATTCTTCTGCATCTGACCATACACTATCATTCTCACTGTTAGTTAATAAAAATAAATTTAATACTTTTTGTAATAAAATAGGTGAATTAATATGTGCTTGATGTGTAACAGCTGAAAAGAATATTCTTAAAAAGTCAGTACACATTAATATAGTAGTATGTCTATTTTTATCATATTCATCAATTTGTAAATATATAAATTTTAATATTAATTCTGTATAATAATTTGAACATTTAACATCAATAGCATCAGAAAAATTTTGAACACTTCTAAAAAATACTCTAATAATTTCTATTTTTATACTTTCAATTATATTTTCAGAAATAGTTAAATTGGATTATCTTCTTCTTCATCATTTTCATCTTGTTTTCATTATCTTGCATTTGATTAGTATTATTAGTATTATTATTTTTAACAATAAAATTTAAATTATTTTGATTTAAATATTCAATAAATTGTAAATTATTAAATAAATCACATAAATGTTTCATTGAATCTAATAATAATTCAACATGATCAGAAAATGCTCCTCTAAATGGAATATTTCTAGCAATCTATATTAAATTGTAATAAATAATTAAATTATTGTAATAAATATTAAATATATTATTGTAAAAAATGTACATACCATACTAATAGTATATAAATGATTCTTAACAAATAATAAATCATTACTATTTACTAATTGATTACTACTATTAAATTTTACTAATAAATCATTAGATATTAAATGTAATACTTTAAATAATAATTGTGTTTGTTTAGAACTTGAATGATATTCTTTAGAAAATCTTTCAATAAATTTGTTCATGTGATTTTTAGTACCATATTCTTTTTGATTGGTTAGAAATTTATAATGTTCATGAATTTCTTGTCCAAATGTTATTGTTGTTGTTGCTGATGTTGCTAATGATGTATCTCCTCCTGTTGAAGTGGGTGTGTTATTGTTGGTAACTACCAATTGTTGTTGTTGTTCTTGTTGTTCAAACATTTTTTTGCACAATTTTCTGCAAGTCAAGTTAAAAAACAATTCTTCAATTTCAACTTGTATGAAAAATAATGATAGACTGGAGGAGAGAATTGAACCTTTGGTCTTTATCCCAACACTACAGACTGGCCTTATGATAGCAGTTAATCATCTAAAATGAAAACATTGATTCAACTGAGCAAGTTGGGATAACAACCCTAGCTCATCCTTCCACTCTTCGCTGTCTCTTATAAAGAAGAATCCTTTTCTCTAACAATTTAATTGAACAAGTATTAAAAAATGTCGCAACAACAACAACAATATTATAGAGGAGGAAGTCGTTCTTCACAANA